CCCCCCATAATATTTTGCCTAATTCTTGTGCTTCTGTCCTTAAAATTTATCTTCTCTGTTCAATGTGACATTACTTTCTGGTGATTGTTGTAAATATGCTAATTCTTTTTACGTTAGCAGAGCCCTTTAGCATAACCAGAAAGAAGAAGCCAACCAAGGTTGCTGGATGGCAGCAACCTTGAAAGAACTGGGGGAAAGATGCACTGCTTTCTTGTTAAATTTTTGTCCCTGAGAACTGGAGTAGACATTAGATTAATTTGCATCTGCTTTTATTTATGTGTGTCTGTAATGTCTTTTAGGGGGAACTTGAACGGCAGCTTTTGCAAGCAAATCCAATTCTGGAATCATTTGGAAATGCGAAGACTGTGAAAAACGATAACTCATCTCGCTTTGTAAGTTTGAAAGCACCAGACACTTTTTAATTCCTCAGATTTCTTGTTAAATTCTGACTATGGTTATGCAGTCTTACTTTTCTTAGATTTTAAGAAAGTAATAGATGTAGTATTATTCATTTATTTAAAGTTTTTATTGTGAAGTGGGTAATAGTTTACTTGGGGGAACATTGGTTTTACACTCATCCTATCACGTTTCATTTCATTGCAATGATTACAGTCCCCTCCGTGCATCATCGTTCAATAGTATTTGCTTCTATTTCCTGTTTTGTTTTTTGGATATACACAAAAACACCCAGGAATATACAAATATTTAAACAACCAAAGGGCACATTCTAAAAGCCCGATTCCTGGCCGTCAACACACAGCCTTTCTCTTCCCATGAGTCTAGAGTCCTCAGATGCTCTATCTGTCCATGTCCCCATCTCTGCCTCCAACTCTGGAGTCGCTGCTTCTATGGATAGGGTCCCATATTCCACTCGTGATGGTCCTAGGGTCCTCTGGTTCCTGAAATATAAGATTAACTAAACTACTCCCTCCTTTTTGTTACAAAACTACCTTTACAGTTGTGACAATTGCGATTAGTCATGATAACAATTACTTTATTGAATCATAAGAATCTTATCTCCATCTCCTTTCACCAGGCCCATCTAGACAAGATGAAAACTATTCAGTGGGGATTCTACTTTCCCCCACACTCTGTAAAACTAAACTCCTGCTTGAAAACTTGTAAGCCAGTCATTTGGTTTGCATTTATAGCCCCCCTATTTTAGGTACCCAATGTCTTACTTAAATTGCCTGTCCTGTCAACCCTATGTACAGAGGGACTAGGATTGATCCTTGATGTGAAGACTCCTTCCTTCTCAGTTGGTATTTTGAGCTACTGCATCCATAAGTATAGGTCAAGTTTATCAAATTGTATCAATTTATGCTTGTTTCCTTTATCAACATTTTTTTTTTATCTTCCTCTAGTCGAGTGCTGATCATGAAGCCGTTGAAGCTAGGTCAAATGAGTACTATCTGCACATTTGGGATAGTATTATTTTTCTCAGAGAAAAACAATAGAGATGACATATGTTGTTTTAAGTTTTCTAGTAGCCACATTTTAAAAAGAGGAAGATAAACAGAGAAATGTGAAAGTAATTTTTATAGTATATTTTATATAAATATTATTGTTGTTAAGTGCTGTTGAGTTAGTCCTGAATCATAGTCACCCGGTATAGGGTTTCTGAGGAGCAGCTGGTGGGTTTGAATTGCCGACCTTGTGGTTAGCAGTCTAGTGTTTATCCTACAGCACCACACCAGGACCCTAAAGATACCATTATGATCTCTGTTGAGTCCTGCTGTATCACTGCAGGATAATGCACCAGACCGCAAGGTCGGTTTGAACCACAAGGTCGGTGGTTCAAACTCACCAGCTACTCCTAGGAAGTCCTACACAGGGACGCTATGAGTCAGAACCATCTCGACGGTACTTGGCAACAACACCCGATCTCTATATTGCTATTTAGAGAAATATAGTTAAAGAACCTGTCTGAGCTTATTTATTCAGCTTTGGGGATAATGATAAAACCTGTGTTTTAGGGTTGGGGTGGAGATTAAATGTGATGCATTTGAACACTTAGCACAGCGCTCAACATTTACTAAACATCTACTCTTAGAGAAATGTCCTGGTGTGGTGCTGCTGGTTAATGCATTGGACTGCATGGTTGGTTTGAACTGCAAGGTTCTGATGACATGGTATCATGCCTGAGATGAATGAAAGGGACCAGACTCAGGACTTCCAGACAATGTGAAGATATTAACTATTTTAGCTTTTTTTGTACGTATGTGCTTTTGTCAGTAGGAAGTATGCCTGTGACTTTGGGAGTTACAAAAAGATCTGGGGAAACTGCTGCTTTTAGAGTTGTACTCGGTCCCTAGCTCATTAGCACTGAGCCTGAGCCACAATTAAATCTGAACTTCTTCCTTCCAAAAGCCCTAGGTTTAGTGGCTGTATCATGGAATAGGAGAAACAATGAGCTTTCAGCTTTGGTATGCGCCTTTTCCTGAAGATTTTTCAAGGATTTGGTCATGGGAAATGCTGTATTGTGCCACAAAAATCAAGTTACCAATCATTCTGATCTCCTGTCCTCCCTTAAAAACAAAACAAAAATACTAATTTCAGGAGAAAGCGTTTTGTGCCCATTTGTCTAGAAAAAAAAAAATAAATAAATTGCTTCTAAGCAGTTATCTGTTTCCTCTGGTAAAGATGTAGTCATTCTGTTACTGAATGGTAAGAGTTTTTCTACCTGCAAGGATATGTATCCACTCGTTATTATGTTTGGGACAGACATAGGCATAATTCTGTATTAGTTGATGCATACATAATTAGTATTTAAGAACTTAAGTGGCTTACGATACTGATTTCACGGTGCTTGGTGTTAGGAATTTGGGAGCCCCTCCAGCTGCGTCTCGCAGGTGGTCTTTATTAAGATTGTGTTGGCTGAGACTGCAGTCATCTGAAAGCTTGACTGAGGCTGGAGGACCTGCTTCCAAGCTACGCAAGTGGTTGTTGGCAAGAGGCCTCAGTTCCTCCCGTTGCGGACCTCCTTCTAGTTCTGCTGAGTATCCTCACACCATTGCAGCTGTCTTCTCCCAGGGTGGGTGAGGTAAGAAAGGACCAGGCAGAAATCACACTATACAGTTGATAAGCTTTCCTTAGAAGTTACATACAACCCATTTGTTGTCTTTTATTGGTCCACTCAGACCAACCTTTGTACAACATGAAAGGGGACTACATAGGGACTGAATACCAGAAGGTGGGGACCGCTGGGGCCTACTTGGAGGTTAGAGGGATTCCCATACTATGACGTATGTAGAGTTTAATCTGCAATGTGCGTTATTGTAGATCAGTGGTTCGTAATCAGGCGTCCTCCCAGGGACATGTGGCCTAGCTTCTGGAGACCTTTTTGGTTGAGCAGAAGCCAGGTGGATGTGCTGCTGACATCCGGTGGGTAGAGGCCACAGGCGCTGTGCTGCTAAACATCCTACAGTGTCCTTCCCCAACAAAGAATTATCCTGATCCTGTCCATGATGTCCGTAGTGCTGAGTCTGAGAAACCTGCTCTAGATTGTTCCTTTACACTGTTAGTTAAGGTGATCATTTGCTAAAATTTATTTGCAAGGTAATTGTTATATACAAGCCTCCTGAAGGCTTCTTACTTAGACATCCCATTATGAAGGTTGATATAAATCTGGTAGAAACTTGTTTTACAATGGACTGGAACGAAGAATTTCTTAGATTGTTTTCTAGCTTGCTTGAAGCACTTCATAGGAAGAGGAGCTTGGATTGTTGTTGTTGTTATGTGCCGTGGAGTCGGTTCCGACTCATAGCGACCCTGCACAGGGTTTCTGAGGCTATTAATCTTTACCGGAGTAGAACGCCTCATCTTTCTCCCGCGGAGCAGCTAGTAGTTTCAAACTGCTGACCTTGAGGTTTGCAGCTCGATTCATAACCACTACGCTACCAGAGCTCCAGCAAGCCCTATTTTAGCAGAGGTGCCATCTTCACAAGTACTGTGTACAGCAGGGGAGCTTAAAAAAGCTTATGGGAAAATGTAATGAAAGGTAATAGAATTTTTTTCATGAACTTTTTGAAGACCTTTCATATGACAGCCCTTAAGTGCAGTCATTCTAATGTACCGAAAGCTCATCTTTCCATAGGAAAAGGATTTTTTAAATTAATGCTGTAATTGTTGTTGCTACGTGCTGTCAAGTTGGCTCTGACTCATACTGACCCTGTGCATAACAGAATGAAACACCGCCCCAGCCTATGCCAGTCTCACCGTTGTTTCGTTTGAGCCCAGTGTTGCTGCCACGGTGTCAGTCCAGTTTCATTCAGAGCTTGCCTCTCTTTTGCTAAGCCTCCACTTTACCAACCATGACGTCCTTCACCAGGGACTTGTCCTTCCTGATAATATGTCTGAAATACGAGAGGTGGAGTTGCGTCATTCTCACGTCTAAGGAGCATTCTGACTGCACTTCTTCTAAGACTGTTTGTTCTTCCGACAGTCCGCGGTACTTTGAATATTCTTCTCCAACATCACAGTTCAAATGCTTCTATTCTACTGCCCTCCATATTTACTGGCCAACTTTCACATCCGAATGAGGCCATTGAAAACACCATGATTTAGGTCAGGTGAGCCCTAGTCCTCAAAGTGAGTTATTTTTAAATCGCTGGCTTTGGGCATTGATTTTTGAAAAATCAACTTTTGATCTGTTGATGTGTAGAATATTTTCTTACTCACTTTTTGTGTGGTCCTATAGGATAGGCACTAGGCTGCTAACCACAAAGTAGGCAGTTCAAACCACCAGCTGCTCCTCGGAAATCTTATACAGGATCGCTGTGAGCCAGAACCAACTCAATGGCACTTAGTAACAACAGCAGCTACTAGTACCATACAATGTTAGCTACATAGTGCTAAAACAGAGTGGATTTGAGGGTTTCCATTTTTAAAAAATTAAGTAGTTTGTTCCATTGATTGAATAATGTTCAGTTAAAATATCCCTTTTAATAGTTCAGTGGGTATCTCCATTTCGGTTTGTAGAAGGGTTAGAAAGTAGCCAGTTTAGATTCATTGTTTATTAGCTTTCATTTTTTGGTTTTAAATCTTTTGAACATTTCCATAAATTTTTTATTAAATGCCTATTTTTGCTTACTAAACATTTGACTGTGAATGATCCTTGATTCAACCTTTTCAGCCTTTTTTCTGATGGCCCGTAATGAGGTTGGCAGTTGGTAAAACTTCGGGAGTGAATTTCACATCCATATTTCTCCCTCTCCTGGCTGTCACTGAAGCCATATCTGAAGGGTTTCCTCCTGTTAAATTCCCTCGTTATTTCCCCGCTTAGCACTTATCACAATGTGTAGTTAATTACTTTGCTTATCTATTAATCTTGTTCTCCTGCTAGGATGTTAAGCACTTTGGCTGTAGAAACTTGGCCTGGCTTGTACCCTTG